GTTGCCATGAATTGCTCTACTTCTGGATGCAGAGTAATAATGGATGCAAGTACAGTTACTTATTAAATACCTTTTCCTTTTAAAGGGGAGATAGAATATCAGTAATTACTTGTTAGATTCTAGAAAAAGTTGGTTCAATTATGCAGAAACATTTATCGAACACTTACTACCATGTGCCATGTACTGTGATCTATACTGAGTATGAAAAGATAGTAATTTTGTTTTTAAATAATTCATTCATCTTATTTATGTCTTTATGCACTTAATAAGCCCCCCCCCCTTTTGGGAGCCAGGATTGAACTCAGGGGCACTCAACTACTGAGCCACATCTCCAAGACCTATGATGTATTTTTTAGTTTTTTAGTCAGGATCTCACTGATTTGCTTGCTATTGCCGAGGCTGGCTTTGAACTCATAGTCCTCCTGCCTCAGCCTCCCAGTATGCTGGGATTACAGTTGTGTGCCACTCTGCCCAGCTCCAGCCCTTATTTGTTTTGTACATTTCTTTTGAAATTTTAAAGCAAGAGGCAGAAAATCTATTTTCTGAAAATTTATTCTTGTCTTCTCTTTGTTTATTTTGTGTTACTAGAGATAGAAGCCCATCTGAGCTGTATCCCCAGCCGTTTTGATTCTGTTTTGAGTAATGTTTGTGTTAAATTGCCCAGGTTGACCTTGAACTTGTGATCCTCTATTCTCAGCCTCCTGAGTAGCTGGAATTACAAATGTGCACCACCATCCCTGGCCTGTTTATTATTTTTTAATCATAGTTTTGGTATGACACAACTTGCATTCCTCAGAGTTCACTCATTTAAAATAAATAATTCATTAAATTTTAGTATATTCTAAGTTTGCAACCATCAATATAGTCAATGTTAGAACATTTTCATAATCCCCCAAAGAAACTCCATACCTATTAATAGTTACTTCCCATTCCTCTCTCTCCTCATAGTCCCTGGCAACCACTAATCTGCTTTCTGACTCTATAGATTTCCCAATTGTGGATATTTCATATAAGTGGAATCTTAAATTATTTGGTCTTTTGTGGCTAGTTTCTTTTAATAAGCATAACATTTTCAAGGCTTATCAATGAATCAGTACTTATTCCCTCCCCCCTTTTTCTTTTCTTTTGGGTATTTAACCTATTGGCACTTAACCACTTGAGCCACATCCCCCAGCTCTTTTTATTTATTTTGAAGCAGGGGCTCACTAAGTTGCTTAGGGCCTTGCTGTGAATTTGCAATCCTCCTGCTCCAGTCTCCCAAGTCTCTGGAACATGTGCCACCATGCCCAGCTTTCTTTGCCTTTTTTAAAAAAAAAATATTTTTAGTTGTAGATGGACACAATACCTTTGTTTTATTTATTTTTATGTGGTGCTGAGGATCGAACCCAATGCCTCATATGTGCTAGGCAAGTGCTGTACTACTGAGCTACAACCCCAGCCCCTTCTTTTCATTTTGATGGCAAATAAGATTCCATTATATGGATATACCATATTGTAGTCATACACCATCAGTTGATAGAAATTTGGATTATTTCTATTGTCTTTTAAGTCTATTATGAATAATGTTGCTATGAATATTGTGTATACATTTTTATGTGGGTATATATTTCATTCTTGGGTATATATATAAGTGGAACCCTTTGAGGAAATGTCCAACAGTTGTCCAGAGAAGTTATACCATTTTATATTCCCAGAGTAGTGTAAGGTTTCTAATTTCTCTACATGCTAACCAGCAGTTGGAGTATAACCATCCTAATGCATATGAAGCAATATCTCTATGTGGCTTTGATTTATAATTCTGTAATAACTGATGACATTGAGCATATTTTCATGTGCTCATTGACTATTTTTATCAGCAACTTTTCATCTTTCTGACCATTCTTTTGTTGTCACATTTCCCTCTGACCATAACCTGGAAAGGTTTCATGTCATTAGATTTTTGTCACCTGGATAATCCAAGACAATCTCAAGATATTTAACCTTAACCCCGTTTTTATAAGTCATTTTTGTCAAATAAGGTCATATATTCACTTGTCCTGAGAATTAGAATGTGGCCATCTTTAGGAACCACATCTGTCTACCATACTGTATTAACAATACTAATACTTCTTTTTATCCCAAAACATGAGGTTTTCCCATTTACTAGGATATCTTTAATTTCTTTCAATGATGTTTTATATTTGTGTGTATAAGTCTTGTAATTCTTTTGTTAACTTTATTTTAAGCATTATATTCTTTTTTTAAGCAATCATAAAAGGAATTATATTCTTAATTTAATTTTGGATTATTTATTGCTATAATATAGAAATGTAATTTTTTTATGTTGATCTTATGTACTTTTTCATGTTGAACTTGTTTATTTTTCTAATAGATTTTCTTGGAATTTTCTGTATTCATGATCACATTATCTATGAATATAGTTTTACTTTTTCCTTTTCAATCTGAATTCCTTATTTATTTTTCTGCCTAATGGTCTTGGTTAGAATTTCAAGTGTACTATTGAATTGAAGTGGTATAAGTGTTTTTGTTCCTGATGGTAGTAGAAGTATTCAGTCTCTCACCATTAAGTATGATACTTATTAATGCTCATTAATATTCATTAATGCTCTTTATCATGTTGAAGAAGTTCCCTTCTCTTCCTAGTTTGTTGGGAGGGTTATCATGAAAGGTATTGGATTTTTGTCAGATGCTATTTCTACTTCTTTTGAAATAATGTGTTTTTAAATAACAGCATAATTGAGATATAATTCACATCTTAACATTCACCCTTTGAAGGTGTACGATTCAGTGGTTTTTAATATAGGCACAGAGTGTACAGCCATCACCACTATGTGATTTGAGAACATTTTCATTACCCCAAAAAGAAACCCTGTACCTATTAGCTGTCACTCCCCATTACTCCCTCCTTCAGCCCCTGACAACTACTAATAACTTTCTGTCTATGGATTGCCCACTCTGGATATTCCTTATAAATAGACTCATGTAATATGTGACCTTTTATGTTTGGTTCTTCCATTTAGTATATTATTTCCAAAATTTATCCATGTTGTTGCATTTATCAGTACTTAATTCTTCTGAGTGCAGGCAAGATCTTTTCAAGCTTCCTTAGTCTCTGGTTATTTCTGATAAATTAAGCCTAAATTTATGTTGTTTTTTTTTTTTTTTGATAGTAGGGATTGAACCCAGGGGTGCTTAACCACTGAGCCAAATCCCCAGCTGGTTTTATATTTTATATAGAGATAGTATCTCAATGAGTTGCTCAGGGACTTGCTAAGTTGCTGAGGCTGGGCTTGAACTCCTGCCTCAGCCTCCCAAGCTGCTGGGATTACAGGCATGTACCACTGCGCCTGGCTAATTCATGCTGTCTTGAAGCTACTTGTGTCTTAATTTCTTACCACCAATGCTTCATTTTTTAAAAAATATTTTTTTTAGTTGTTGATGGATCTTTTCTTTTCTTTCCTTTCCTGAGAATTGAACCTGGTGCCTCACATGTGCTAGACAAACTCTCTGCCACTGAGCTACAACTCCAGCCCCCAATTCTTCATTTTTTTAAAAAGAGAAACCTTCAGTTTGAACTTCTTCACATTGTTTTTCAAATAAAGTCATTTCTTTTGGGGATAGCTTAGGAGCTCCCACTGGGCAAAATCTTTGAGCCAGTGCTTTGGATGCTAGGCAGTGGTAATAAATAGCTAGTGGTTTTCTTGCATACCTCTTCACATATGGGACTTAGCCCTACAAGTGAGCTTGGGTGAAGTACTAGTGTGAAGGGCCTTTGGGGCCCCAGGATTCTAAGCCCTCTGTGCCTGGGGTAGAACCACTGCCCTATGAGTGGAGGCTGGTTAAAGGAAGTGCCCCCACTGAACTCTTGGCTTTACTTACTGAGAATTTTACACCCTCAGTTCTTTGTTGGAGGTGATAAGAGTGCTAGCTGCTTATCTCTCTCATTGAGATACTATATCTCCTGATTGGGAGCTGGGGCAGAGAGAGTCTAGTATTCTTGGCCACTCTTACCAGAAGTATATATTAAGGTAAGCAAAAGGATGGGGGAATGAAAGGAGTGGATTGTGGCTCCTGTGCCATGGACTCACTGTTACATTACTGAGTTTCAGCAGATTTTCTTGCATAAATGGTTTTTTAATTGCTCTTTGCCCTCAGGACAATTTCCAGAAGTTTCCAATTAAAAAATATGTTTTGGGGCTGGGGTTGTGGCTCCGTGGTAGATAACTTGTCTAGCATGTGTGAGGCTCTGACTTTGGTACCCAGAACCACATAAAAATAAACAAATAAAATGAAGGTATTGTGTCCATCTACAACCAAAGAAAATATGTTTTTCCTGTTAAGGATATTTCACTGGGGAACAAACAGTTCCATAGGACTTCTGCTGCAGTTCTGGGAATGTATCCCTCTATTATGTCAAGTTTTTCAGTAAAGTAGAAATTGGGTTTTAAAAAATATTTTTAGTTGTAGATAGACAAAATACCTTTATTCAATTTTTTTTATGTGCTACTGAGGATTGAATCTAGTACCTTAAACATGCTAGGCAAGTGCTCTACCCCTAGAATTTTTTTTTTTGAAGGTGCTAGAAGGTTGTTTATACTATTTTTAAATCTGTGTCTACCTTTTTTTTTTTTGAACCTGGAATTGAGCTCAGGGGTACTTGACCACTGAGGGACATCCCCATCCCTATTTTGTATTTTATATAGAGACAGGGTCTCACTGAGTTGCTTAGCACCTCTCTTTTGCTGAGGCTGGCTTTGAACTCGAGATCCTCCTGCTTCAGCCTCTGAGCCGCTGGGATTATAGGTGTATACCACCATGCCTGGCTTAAATCTGGCTTTCACTATTTTAAAATATTTATTTATTAGGTTTGGGGTTACATACTTTTCCTTGCTTTATTTTTATTTTTATTTCTCCATATAAATGAATCTTGTTACAATGGGGTTTGATTCTTGAGAAATAAGTTTAGTGACATTTTTTCTGCTTGCTACTTTGATTTTTAGGTTTGACTCTACCATCTACTACTGTCACCACTACTGCTAGTTCAAGCACCATGCTGTTTACTTCAGTATCAAATGCTTTTACATCTACAGCAGCCTCAGAGCTCTCATGTAAGTTATATTTATTCCAAAGACAATACTATTATTTCCCATGAAGGCCACTTAATTTGCCAATGTAAGCATTGGATCTATATGAATCTCCTGCATCCCCAAAATTATTATGTTTGAACCCATTTAAGATTGTTGATATCAATAGTAGCTTTGCTTAGTGCCTAATTGTCGTGGCTTTAGCTTAAGTTATTTTTAAGTTAGTATGTTTATTTTACCCTAAAATGTGGTAAATTTAAGCATCTGGTTCATTAACACTGAGGTTTTGAAGGAGCTTCTGGAAGTTATTAAGAGTAGGAGTTTTGCTAAGTGTGTCTAAAAGAAAGAAGTCCTAGGTGAAGAAGATAAAATGTAAGGAAAAAGTTTTGGAGCCTTGCTATAGTTGTATTCTTCTGAATAGTCCAGGTTGTGGTCCTTAATATTGTATCTGTCAGAAGTGGAACACCACAAAGGACAACCTGTAGTTTTGGGTCTGATTGACACTGAGGGATATCTCATGACCTCTCCTTCTAAAGAGGAATATTCAAGTGATTTGAGCTGAGAAGTGGGATGATAATTATCTTGTAACCCTAACTTCTTTTGAACATCTTTCATTAGTAGCGTAATGGTAGGGCTAGGGTTGTGGGTCAGTGGTAGAGTGCTCACCAGGCGTGTGTGAGGCACTGGGTTCAGTCCTCAGCACCACATAAAAATAAATAAGTAAAATAAAGGTATTATGTCCATCTACAACTAAAAAATATTTTAAAAACTAGAGTAATAGTAAATGTTGAAAATATTGAATTCTATGTATATCTTAGGTACTTTCTTCTTAATATGCTATAAATTGACTGTGCTTTTGAGGTGTCTTCTTCACAGTGCCATGGTGTCCATCACTAAACTTTGTTGTATTGTAATTGTAGCTGTAATATGGTCCTCCCAAAGCCCTGTGATAGCAAGATTGTTGCTATTCCTGGGACTTAAACTTGCCAAGACATGCTGATACTCAAATTAAGCATGAAGTGCAGCATACAGTCCTCATCCACTTGTGTAGTTGGCATAGGTAAACATTCATTAAAATTGTTGGTTATCATGTGAGTAGTGTTTTCTACCAGGTAGACTTCTATTTTGTGACATGACTGTGATTCTGGAATCCTTCTGATATATGTAAGCAACATCTTTCTCAACAATAATAGATTTAGTGAATGTGATTTGATGAATTTGATCATGTCTGAGGCTTGAATTAATTCCAGTTTCAAAGAATTGGTAACTCTGACTTTTTTTAAATATATATTTTTAGTTGTTGATGGACATTTATTTATTTACACAATGCCTTTATTTATTTATTTTTTTATGTAGTGCTGAGAATCAAACCTGGGTCCCACCTGTACTAAGTGAGCGCTCTACTGCTGAGCTGCAATCCCAGCCCTATTTATGTATTTTTATGTGGTGCTGAGAATCAAACCCAGTTCTTTACACATGCTAGGTGAGTGCTCTACCACTGAGCCTCAGCCCCAGCCCTTATTCTCTGATTTTTGATTGGCTTTTTGTTCCTTCCTGCCTCTAATGTCCTTGCTTACAAAATGAAAAGATATGTGGATCATACTATCTTTCAATTGCCTTTAATGAGTTATCCCTTACACATTTTAAAATTAACTTATTTATTTTAAGTATAAAATTCAGTGATTTTTAGTAAGTTTGCCAAATTGTGTACCCATCACTGTATTTAGTTTTAGAATATTCCATTCATCTCAATAAGATCCCCAGCTATAGATAACAACTGATCTATTTTCTATCTCCATAGATTTGTCTTTTCTGGAATTTCATATAAATGGATTTGACCATGATTTTTTGAAATTTAACCTACATTTTCTAAAGGACTCTTGAGGTGAAGAAGACTCTATAAATTCTTGTTTTGATTAAAAGGGCAATTGTTGATATTATGTTCTCTGTAGTTGGTGCTCCAAAAACTTTGGCTAGAATACTTGGTATAACTTTGGGATTTGGATTAAAATTCCCTGGAGCAGGTAGAGCAGCTCCTACTCTTTCTAGTAAGATTTTAGAAGTATTGGGATGTGTTGGGACACTCACTGGAATGTACTACATAACAAATAGTAAGTAAATTATAGTACTAAAGCACCTGGAGCTGTCAAAGTGTGTTTTGACTATCTTATCAGAATATCCAAATAGCATACCAACATAGATGATTGCCAAAGAGTAGAATGAGACAGCTGATATCAGTATAGTGCTTTCTTGGCCATCTGTTCATGAACAAAGAAATAATATCATTGATATCCTAATTTGTTCATTACACATACTACATGTATTGAATAATCATGCCATATCCAATAAATATGCATAAACATTATGTGTCAATTAAAAATAAATAATTAGGTCTGAGAATGTAGCTCAGTGGTAGAGCACTTGCCCAGCATGTGTTTGGTCCTGGGTTTGATCCCTAGCACTATAAAAAATAATTAAAATTTATATACTCTTTTGAGAGATGACCACACTCAAAATTGTTATCAAATTGTGGTCAACATTTTTTAAACCTAAGAATTTTTATTGTTATTAATGTTTAACTTCTTGGACTAATAGAAATTATTTTTTTCTAATGTAATTTAAGTTTTTCACATCTATTAAGGTCAGCCCTCTCCTAAAATTGATCCCAAACCTGTTCTAATTTTTTTTTTCTTTCAGTAAGGACCTAGTTACATTGTAGATGAAAGAAAACTTGGTTAGTCATTGCTTGTAGTTATTGTGAGCTGGCCATTTAAACCTTCCATTTAAGTTAGACTTCATTTTAGGAAACTTGTTTTTTTTTTTTTTAATAAGTTTACTTAGGGCTGGAATGAATCTTTCGTCAAACCTGGCATAAATTAAAGTCAACTCCTTTTAAGCCTAAAATAATTATTCCTAAAGAGAGATGTATATCATCTCCTTATGTCCTCTTACAGGATTAGTACTTGCTTAGTTTCTACTAGATAGTAGCCTTACTGGCCAACCATTTAGAGTTACAAATGATGTGTTGTGATAACTTTACAAGTTACCATATTTAAAAAACATGTAATGCATACTCTCCTCCCAAAAATTACTGAAAAAAAGAACTTATTCTTTCATTTATGGAATGAGTCATTAAAACATGAATTTTAAGACAAAAAATATGAATTGGAAAGCTCCTTGGTGACTCTTGTCACAACGTATCTTTTATGTATCTAAGTATCAAATTCCTTCCTGCAAACTGATATTTTTGGACTAACCCATCCCTCAGCACTATTCTATTCACATTGCCATATGTACTTACACTGCTCCTCATCAGGTATGTCTCAACTTGACACCCTCAGCCGAGAGTCCCCCCCCCCCACTTCCTTTCCTTCCCACCAAGTGTATTACTTTTTCAGAGATTTCATCTCACAAACCAGCATTGCACAACAGCTTTCAAGTGCCTGTATCTGTAGACTTATAGGTCTTTGGGATTACACTCTGGTCTAAGTATAATCATAGAGTTTTAAGAGAAGATTGTTCTTTTAAAAATATTTTTAGTTGTAGATGGACATAATACCTTTATTTTATTTTTTTATTTTTACATGTTGATAAGGATCAAACCCATTGTCTCACAAATGCAAGGCAAGTGCTCCACCACTAAGCTACAACCCCAGCTCAAGAAGCTTGTTTTTTTTTAATAGATAATTGAGAAATTTTATTTTATATGAAAATATTTACATTTGGAAAACTAATATTTATTGGTTATTTTTAGTTATACATGACAGTAGAAGCCATTTTGATATAATTATGCAAACATGGAATATATTTTATTCTAATTAGGACCCCATTCTTGTGGATGTTGGGGATTCACTATGGTGTATTCATATGTGTACATAGGAAAATTATGTCAGATACATTCAAGTGCCTTTCCTTTCCCTATCCCTACTTCATTCTCTTCATTCCCCTTTGTCTAATTTACTTAATTTCTATTCTTTCCCCTGCTACACACTTATTGTGGGTTAGCTTCCATATATCAGTGAAAATATTCAACCTCTGGCTTTTGGGGACTGGCTTATTTCACTTAGTGTGATAGTCTCCAGATCTATCCATTTACTGGGCAAATGTCATAATGTCATTCTTCTTTATGACTAATATTCCATTGTGTATATGGCTGAATAATATTTCATTGTGTATATATATATCATTTTTTTTTCTTTATCATTCATCTGTTGAAGGCTACCTAGGTTGGTTCCATATCTTAACTATTATGAATTGAGATATTGTAAACATTGATATGGCTGTGCCACTATAATATGCTGATTTTAAGTCCTTGGGTATATACCAAGGAGTGGGATAACTGGTTCAAATGGTGGTTCCATTCCAAGTCTTCTGAGGAATCTCCATACTGCCTTTCAGAGTGGGTGCACCAATTTTCAGCAATGTGTAAGTCAATATTTTCCCCCAATCTTCCCCAGCGTTGTTACTTGTATTCTTGATAATTGCCATTCTTACTGAAGTGAAATGGAATCTCAGTATAGTTTTTTTAAAAAAAATACATGACAACAGAATGCATTATAGTTAATATTACATGTATGGAGCACATTTTTTCATATCTCTGGTTGTATATAATGTATATTCACACTGATTAGTGTCTTCATACATGTACTTTCTCCTTATATTAGAGAAAACATTTGGCATCTAATTTTTTTTGGATTGGCTAACTTCACTTAAATTATCTTCTCTAACTCCATCCATTTACCTGCAAATGCCATAATTTTATTCTCTTTTATTGCTGAGTGATATTCTATTGTGTATATATACCGCATTTTTTATCCATTCATCTACTGAAGGGCACCTAGGTTGGTTCCACAGTTTAGATATTGTGAATTGTGCTGCTATAAACATTGATGTGGCTGTGTCCCTGTAGTAAATCCTTTAGGTATAGACCGAGGAGAGGAACATCTGGGTCAAATGGTGGTTCCATTCCCAGTTTTCCAAGGAATTTGCAGTCCCACCAGCAATGTATGAGTCTACCTTTTTCC